AGGAAGAATTCTGTGAAAGTTTTCTTTCGTTAAACAATTTTTTTGAATTCCAATAATCATTTCAAACATAACTAATGTAATTTCTTGCATATATATTTATTAAAAAAAGTTATTATACATTTCCGTAAAATGCCACGGGTGGGGCACCTTTGAACATGCCCATTAAATTCGAGTAAAAAGCGGAGTTTTTAAGTTTTGCCTTCGATTTCTCAAAATTTCAAATGGGATAATAAGACTACAAAATTAACTGTATTTTTCATCATATTAATTTTTGTTTTGATGTAATTTTAAGTTTTAATAAATTTTGATCTGAATTTTTTAATAAATTTTGATCTGAATTTTTTAATTTTCGAAAATTTTTGTATATATTTTTTAATAAATAAATACATTTCTGACATGTTTGAATAAAGTATGTCATATGTATTTTCAATGTATAGGATACATATGCACCTATTAATTAAAATTTATAAGAAACCAAAAATTATAAAATAAAAAATTTTATTAGGCTTGAAAGAAAAATGTGTTCAAAGGTGCCCCCTCTCCCCTATATATATATATATATATATATAGGCAATATTGCCAATTTTTTAATATTCAATTTTCAAAAAATCAGCTTTTTTGTTTTTGTGGCACATCAATGATTTTTGGTACACATATAGAGAAAAATATTCTGAATCCGAAACCGTTCGCGATCAAATTTTTGGTTGATGCGCGCAAAAGTTATCGAGGTTTTAATTTTGGGCATAAGAAAAAAATCTTAAAATTACGCCGTTTATTATATTGACCAAAAACGTTGATATATATCTTCCTCCGTAAAGTAAGAATATGCATATATTATAATAATCGCGATAAAGTTGTACATCTTCGCGAAATATGAGAAAAATAATAAAAATATAGGAGATTACGTCAATATTTTCATGATATTTATGACATTCACACACCTAAAAATGTATATAAAAATATCTACATAATCTAAACACCATGATGAATCAAATGATATGAAAATCACACAAGTCGGTGTAGCGGTTTGTAAATCAGAGCGACAACAAATCAAGGTATTGAGGAATAATATTTGTTTTTGCTTCGAAAAAATAATGTCATCATATTTATTTTTTAATTTTATACAAGAAATTTCAGAAAAAAATGTTGGGGTTATTCTGCTATTTTATCCGAATTTCGCCGAAAAATTGACATATTTAAAAATAATCACATTTGGTGTTTATTCCGCACTGGAAAATCGGACTCCGAAAATTCCAACGGTGTTAGAACGAGTACATGACTAGCTCTCGTGAACTAGTATTATTGACTTCGCTCAAAATATAACAAAATGACGGACCTTTGAAAAAAATATTTTTGGAAAATCACATAATTTTTATCATAAACCACGTTGAAAAATAAAGAAGATATTCACCGATTGGTTTTATCCTAGTTCATACGAGAGCTATACATTAAAGATTGAGAATTACTCTTGGCGTCACTTGATGCTGACACAATAAATCGGCTATCTCTTCAAGAGTTCTTGAGATAAGTATACACCTTGTGGATCCTTCCGATAAATCTTTTTACAGGAGTGTAGTTACGTAGTTACATACTATTGTAGTTACGTCCGTTTGAATTTCTTTAAATAGATCGCTGTTTTGACGTTAGATGTCTAATTTTTTGTGTGAACATGCAGTTTGACTAAACGACCAATAATCAAACAAAAAGTCAATTTCGAATTTTTCTGTCCGTTTGCATTTATGATGACGATATGTATGTATTTGGTTGTATGTTTGGCATTTGTAAATTGGTCAACTGCACTACTATTTTTATGAACACAACTGTATATACGCATATAAGATATTCATAATTTTTAAGGTATGATTATTATTGATTATACATTCAAGTACGAGTATAGAGGACTTGTAGGGGCGGAGCAAATTAGTTCGTTATAGAGATATTCGTTATATCAAGGTAAGGCTAAACAAAGGCTTAGCAAAAACAAGAAATTCATTTGTTAAAAATTAAATAATTGGTTGATTAATTGATTAATATTGGTACTTCATTAAGTCCGCACCATGTTCAAAAAAATAAAATTATTTTATATAATTTTTTTAATACAACGCTTTTGGAAAAGACCGATGATAATTTATTAATAAAAACCAGAAAAATTAATTAAATATTTTTTGTTCAACTAAAATACGACATGCCGACTATTCGAACATGACATGCCGACAATTGGAAAAATGTGCCGACTACTGGCACAGAGGCACTATTTTACCTAATTATCAATTTAATCTACTTTAAGGGGACCTCTCCCATTCTCGATTTTAAATTTTCAAGATTTTCATAGGGCTGGTAAATGAATACCAATGCATGTTAAGATTTGTAACTTTACACGTATATAATTGAAGATTTAAAAGAGAAGAAAAATAATTTGCACAATTTGGTTGTTGTAGTTGTTTTTGGTGATTAAAGGAAAGTCTTTATTCCGCACTGGAACATCGGACTCCGAAAATTCCAACGGTGTTAGAACGAGTACATGACTGGCTCTCGTGAACTAGTATTATTGACTTCGCTCAAAATATAACAAAATGACGGACCTTTGAAAAAAATATTTTTGGAAAATCACATAATTTTTCCCATAAACCACGTTGAAAAATAAAGAAGATATTCACCGATTGGTTTTATCCTAGTTCATACGAGAGCTATACATTAAAGATTGAGAATTACTCTTGGCGTCACTTGATGCTGACACAATAAATCGGCTATCTCTTCAAAAGTTCTTGAGATTTTCAGTTTAAATTTTGTAGGTACACTCTTGAATTAGTGTAGATTCAAATTCGAATTCAAATACAAATTTAATACAAATTAATTAAACAAATTGTTATTGCATAGTGGAAAAAAGCTCTCGGGATGGTGAAACGTTTAAAATGCGAAAATCCTTAAAGTGCCGACTATTGGCGCACTTACCCTATATATATTTATAGCAAATTCGTTATACCAATATTAAAGTAAAAAACTGATAGATGGGACAATAAAAACAGTTCGTTATAAAAAATCGTTATATCCGTAGTTTGCTATAAGAGTAATGATTTGTATGAAAAATATATGTTTTTATGGACCAGGAAATGTGTTCGCTATAAGAAAAGTTCCTTATAACCAGTGTTTGTTCAACTAGCCAATGACATGCTGTGTAAATCACATTAAGAACAATTTTTTAAGTCTATCGGGAACATAGAAACAAGTTTTTCTGCTATTTTTTGAAAATCATAAATACATATTATTTTGGGAAGATTCTGTACCAATTCGCTGTTCTACGTGACTGCAAAGTCCAATGTCATTATTCATTATTATTGTCACCCATAAAAAATAATAAATAATTCATTTTGCAAATACTTACGTATAGTATCGAGATAACGAAGAAAAGAAGTGTTCCCAAGATAAAGCATTACTTCCCGTTAGCCCTGCTGATTGCTTCAGTAAATTGAATGTACTTCGAGAAGACCTTTCACAGCTAGATAAACCAGCAATCATTTTCAAATATGGCACAAACAATGTTGCTGGCAATAATTCACCTGCTAAGCGTATGAATTTAAAAAGAGATACTGATCGTGTTGTTGTTACGTAGTTTGTGGAGGGCTCCAGTGGGCCCCAATATTCAGAACACAATGAAAGTCCTGCCTTGTCGTCAGCATAAAATTTGCCAATGCATAATAAAAGCATTTCGAAATTATAATCCAAATTTGTTGGCGGTTCCAATCCTTGACTTGTAAAGCTCACAACTGTTTTCGATGTCTCATCAGCACGTCCGCGTAGCTCAGTAACTTTCGAATGCATAAAATCAATGAAATCGGTAAATAGCATATGTATTCTTCTATAGAAGAATTGATTCCTGAAAATATTTAGTATAGTTAACAATTATAAAAATACATTGAATTGAAACTTACTGATATGTCATCTCTTTTTCCAGAACATAACAATAAATAAATTTGAATACGTTTGAACAAATCGCCTCATCTATCAGCTGTTCGTCATAGTCGGTTACGGTGGTATGATTGTGCATGTATTGTGAGGCATGGCGTAAACCCGAAATAGCCAATCCAAAGGAAAACTTCACTAAACTTAAAATACCGCTGTTGTGATCCGAATTCGATTCATTCATTAACGCGTTATACACATGCTGTACATATTCATGATCTTTTATAATATACAAATTCTGTATCAAATGGCTGTCATCTTGTTTTTGCAAAATACTGGTATCATACGAATATAGTAAAGCCATGAGCATGGCAAGGGTAGTGTTTTCTATTTCTCCATTTGCTTCTAGAGATTTATGTTGGGATAAACTTTTAATTAATTTCAATGTGTTCATCTTCGGCAATCCCCTTTGAGCGGACCAATTAAACAGTGCCATAGCTAAAGAAATACGTATGTCCTCGAACAATTCAATCACTTGATTTTGATGTTTATTGTCTCCAAGAGCCCTATTTTTAGTTAGTAGCGCCATCTAGGAACAACAATAAATATATATAATTCAATAAAATTTCCTCCAGCATTTATTTCTGTTGTGTCTGGCATATTTTTTGATAAAAATATTTAGTACTACTCAAACAATCGATTTGATGTAATCTATATATATAAAAATGAATTGCTGTTCGTTAGTCTCGCTAAAACTCGAGAACGGCTGAACGGATTTTTCTTATCTTAGTCTTAAAATATTCGTAGAGCTTCAGGGAAGGTTTAAAAGGTGAGAAAAATTTAAAAATCGCGAAAAATTTGCAAAAAAGAAAAAATATTATGAAAAAAAATATTATGAAAAACAATATTTGAAAAAAAAAATATTCATTTGTCAAATATTGAAAATTTTCAAAATATTTTATTTTATTCAATTGGCATTGTAACGAAACTTTTTTTCTGAGAATGCAAAACAATAATTGAGATGAATTCGCGATCATTGTATGTACACGTTTTCCATAAAATTCACTTACATTTTGGAACAAATGCAAGGATGAAAATCTGAAGATTCAGAAAAGAGTTCTGATTCGAAGACACATGCCCTAGATTATTCTTCTTGAAAATAATAATAATAGGAACATAGGAACATGTTGTTATTGAAGTACCTAAAATGTACCATTATATGGTGGTTATATGCATAATCGTTGGTCAATGTCTTTAATCGCATATGTGTATCACAGAGAAAATGAAGTTCATATTGAAAGAGAACAACTATAAAAAGCATTTGTTATAACAAAGAGTCTCATGATGTTACCTCAATATGTCAACTACCGATATATTTAATGCCATGAAAAATCGTTGTTAAGATCGAACTTTTGTACTTCCTAATATGTAGATTCCTTAAATCGGCCGGGACATTTATATGGGGACTATGTTACACAGTATGTGTAGTAGATTGGAAAACGGGGGGTAAGAACTTCAACATACTGAAAATTAAACGGGAAATATGTATGGCGCCTTTTTATTGCATTAAGCCAAATCCATGATCCATCCATTCCGTCAAATTCTTTACAAAACCGAAAATGGTGCGGGACCCGTATGTAGGAGCTATACAAAACTTGGTCGTGAATAGAAATGTTTCCGCAAATGTGTTTTACCCTTTCAATATCATGGAATGATATATGATATGAATGATATACGATACTACAATGGGTATGGATATATACTAATACCACATGAGAAAATACCGAACAATAAGAGTATATCATTATATGCATATCATTATATGGGGCTACCCGGACCAATTTGCACCAATATTGATAATTTTTTGTAAACAGGTTTTCTTCATCCAAAATAAAACATTACAGCTCTTCAGCTGAAGCACTCCCTAAAATACCGAACTCCTTAAAGTACCGACTATTGTGGGCACCTCAAAGATTTAACCAATATTGACAATTTCAGTACGATTCATTCTACCAAATATACAACCAAACGTGCCCAAATCCCCCACAGTATCGAAAAAGGTGGATTACTATTACATGGGGGATATTTGAAAGCTTGGGCGAACATAACATTGCAGCCAAACACCGAATATTAAGGGATGCCGTTAGGTGGGGATATCCGAATACTTGAGTCAATATGGAAAATTCTAATTAGGGAGAATTTCTGCCCAATAAGTATCCCTAATATTAGATTTGGGAAAAAGAAATCCATTATACCGGTGGAACGATCGAATTTTACAGGCATGTCGTAACATCATCCATCATCCATTCACACAAAGCTGGATTCAAAAAGAAGCTCAATGGTTGGGTGACTCACCAATTAACAGAAAAAATGAAATGGATCGAATTTCCATCTGCGAAGTCTTGACCAAACGGAATGAGATACTCTTATTTTTAAAAACGGATGGTAACTGGAAATGAGAAATGGATCACATACGATAACCCAATGCAAAAACGATCGTGGTCAAAGAGCGGTGAAGCACCTCAAACGGTGACCAAACCAGGACTAACGACCAGGAAGGTTCTGCTATGCATTTGGTGGGACTGGAATGGGATTATTTATTATGAGTTGCTTTCATATGGCCAAACGCTAAATTCTGATCTCTCCTGCCAACAACTGTACCGTTTGAAGATAGCAATTGGCCAGAATTGGCCAACAGGGGAGGTGTCGTGTTTCACCAGTAGGCCTATTCTGTAGCTTTTAACAACATTCGATATTGTTTAAATTTCTTTTGTTATTGTAAAAACAATAAAACTAACAAATGAAATTGTTGTAAAATAGACATTATCGAATGTTGTTAAAAAGTTACAGAATACAGGGGCAGGACAACGCTAGGCCATCTTATGAGTAGTACAAATGTATGTGCAAATATAAAATGTATATCTTAAATCGTGGAGGGAACAACAAAACTCACTCATAAACATCAAATTCAGTTTTGTAATGTTACCCTATGTGTGCTATGATAATTAACAAGATGTTACAAAAATATATACACTTCACCTTATGATGGAGGGTATAAAACCAACCTAAAATGCCGAAAATTATACATCAACAATATTGTTAGGCAAGACAACGTTTGCCGGGCCCTCTAGTAGAATATAAATCGATCAATCCTCACATACTGCAAAAACATACTGTCAAATTCTTCATTAAAATATTTCGAGGCCGAATCATCCCTTTAGGTTAACATTTTGAATTTTTATTTCAAATATTTTATTATTTTGAGAATTGTTTATTGATTTCAATTGGATCTAAAAATGTATGGCACATTGGGACCCTTATTTTCTATTTTCCGAATGTTAGGTGTACTGTGTAAATTGTTACCAATTTGTAGTACGTTTACATTGTACCGGATCTAGTAAATCCAATAGATATAAATTGTCAATTCCATTGGATAGATATAAAGTGATATTAAATATATTTTGCCTCAATACAAAATTCCAATATATACGCCCATGGTATAATAATAGAAGGTAACAGCAAGTATTGTTGTACAACAAACGATACAACAACCACATGGAAATTTGTTGTTGTAAGTTATACTAGTGTCAACGTCATTTGACAAAAAAATGTAAACAAACAAATTATCAACAAATTATATTTATTTTGATAATGTAATATTTTCGAATCCTCAAAATAAAATTGAAAAACATGAATGAAAATCTATTAAATTTATATTTCTATCGCTTCCACATAATTCCTATAATTGAGCCATTGCCACTTATATGTGTAACACATTTGCAAATGCAGGGAATTGCGAGTTATTCACTGAAGAAAGATTTGCTTCCTCAAACTTTCCCAGCAGGCACGGGAGGACATTTAATAAAGAACAATTTCGAATTGTATGTGTTCCCAATTTTTTTGTTGGGTGATTTTTAAAAACATAATTTGTCATATTCATATTGTCACTAGTATTACGTTGGAATCAAATCAGCTGGGTTTTGCTGTTACCTTTTATAATTGTACCATGATATACGCCTAAAGCCAGCATACTAAAGCTGTAAAATAAATTATGTGTGATGGGATATGTTTGTGGACATATTTTGACATTATTTCAGCAAGAATCACTGCGAAAGACCTATTGGTCTCGAAGATATCGGCCAAAATCTATACCAACCCAAAAATGATTATCAAAAAAAAAGTATTTTGCTTTTCATTATTATTTTAGAAAAAAATCATTACATAGCACACGCTTTGTCTTTTTATAGTTACCATTGCGGGTAAAAACATACTATAAGCGATTTGGCGATTCCAATAAACCACGACATTTTTCGTTCAATACATTCTCCAGCAATATTTCATTTAATATTTTTTAATAATAAATAATAAATATAGTCATTGTAATAATAAATATTGTCACCGAGGCTTCGAAACATCCCAAATATACTTAAAATAATAAAAAGGCTGTTTTACAAAATAAAACGCGAGGACAAGACCTTAAAAAAAATTAAAATCAAAACAAATTATTAGAAAAAATATCACGAAACCCCATTTTTCTGACTTCGAAAACTTTACGGTCCATTAGTATATGCAATGGAACCAAAATGTGCGATGAAAATAGCAATAAGGTCAGATTCAAAGATATGAACGGTTTTGTGGCAATATAAATAAAACTTATTTCGAAAATAGATTGACCAGTTTATTATTCTCTGCTGCATTTTTTTCGTAACTGATGGAGTTAATCGGATATAAAATATTGAATGCGTATTCGTCACTAGCTACCACAGTTTTTCAAAAGGCAATAGGATTTAACGAAGAATGACGTTTTGTCCCAACTTCATGTACTGTTTTGTACTTTCTGTTGTTTTAGAACTGTTCATATCTTTGAATCTGACCTCCTTATTACTATTTTCATCGCATATATTGGTTCCTAGATAAATATTAATGGACCATAAAGTTTTCGAAGCCAGAAAAATGGGGTTTCGCGATATTTTTTTAATAATTTGTTTGTCGGATTTTGATTTTAATAGTTTTGACTTCATTACTTTAAACCCGAAGGTGTATATCACTCAGTTCACGCCCAAGTTAATTTTCTTAAACTGGAATTCAGTAATTAGTTTACGACAATCAAGAACAATAGACTACCAGAAAAAATTGCAGGAAGAAACTTTTCAATAACAACATAGGTATAGACAGCATTTTACGCTTATATGCACGTCGGACATAAGCATCTCATTTATATGCGCTCAAATTTTAAGATTTTCGTTTTAACTCAAAAAAAATGTATATGAACACTAAATTAGCGTTAAATACTTTATATATATATATATTATAAATTACCTCTTTGACAATATCCAATTCATTTAGTAGATCTACGATTCTATCTAATATATTAGAATCATCTACTAATGTTTGCGAAAACGACGAAACCAATTGAACTAATTTCGTTGGAGATTCTGGAACCCATGATATACCACTTGTAATTTGAAAAAGATCTCGAATAGAATTAGCAACAGCTTTTCGACCATCATAGTACAAAAGTATTGCTACTAAGCCCCGGGGGAGTCTAGGATAATGTATCATTTGATGTTGAGCTGTGCATAGCAATTCAAGTGCCAGAAACTCGTCCAGATCAAACATGTCGGAAATAATCATAGCTTCTTCTATAAGATCCTTCGATATAGGCAAAGCTCTACCACTTGCATGAATGGGAACCCCTTGAGTAACATAAGCTCTAAGTTGGGACCGGTTGGCTTCACTCTTGGGCTAAAGACAATTGAATTTTTAGTGTAAAGGTAAATAATATACATATTGTATTCATTACCGGATTTCGCAGTAAGTTTACAAAAATCTGCTTGTGGCGTTTTAGACATACTTCCAAATTTGATATAGCTGCTTCGTTTGGGTTAATTACGGTCTGTTCTATAACTTTATAGAGCTGTTTAAATGGCGACCACATGTCATCAGGTATATCTGAAATATAAAATTTTTAATTTTCGAATTATGGATGTTTTTAATTTTGTTTGTAAAATAGCGAAAAACAATTTATGATTTTTTATAGAAATGCATTGGTAATATAAGAACAAAATAAATACCTTCCATCTTCGACGTTTATGTCTACCAAACACTGAATGCGAAATTGCAAAACAAACACGCCGGGCGATAGCCGCCAATAAATATAAAGTCAATCACCTCGAACTGATAACAAGACAGCAACTTCCCAAACATGGCACAATAAATAGGTAGTCCATTTAGCGCAGCTGATGTCTAGATTAACTGTCAAAATGGGTATTTTCTACTTAAATTCGATGTCAATGTTGCAAACCATGTGAAATTTTATAAGGAAATATTTGAAAGATGGCCAAGATAGAAATAAATGGTATTTGTTTTGATACATCACTTTATTATTGCATCATGTCCCCAAGAATGACAATACAATAGCCCTCCTTATGCTCGTCAATTCCAAATTTAAAGCGTTTCTCAGTGAATGTATGAGCTAGGATAAATCCAATCGGTTAATATTTTCCCTCTTTAACTAATTTTGTGGTTAAAAATAATAATTTTCAAAGGTCTGTCACTTTATTAATTTACGGAAACAGACCACATGTTACATTTCTAACACCGTTCCGGTTTCCTTAAGTTATTGTTACACGAGCCCTTACAGCCCTAACTAAAATTCAACTAGCTCGTTCGACGTTTTTCATCACAAAAGTAGAACACATGTACTTATATAATTGTTACCGAAATACCTCGACGTACGAATTTTCAAAGTTGAAAAAATTCAACTATGACAGAATGTAGATTTGTTTTTTTCTTCTGTTGAAAATAGAACCATTTTGCCATAGTGTGGAAGTTGAATATTTTTATACGCATAAGGGAACCCCACCCATTCTCGATTTTAATTTTTCAACATTTTCAATGGGCTGGTAAATCAATACCAAAGCTTGTTAAGGTTTGTAACTTTGCACATATATATTTAAAGATTTAAAAGAGAAGAAAAATAATTTACAAAAAATTTTTGTTATTGTTTTGTTGTTGTTTTTTGTAATTAAAGAAAAGTCCTTATTTTTGATGGCGGGCATGATAACTCCAACGGTGTTAGAAAGAGTACATGTCTGGCTCTCGTATGAACTAGGATTATTGACTTCGCTCTAAAATAAACAAAATGGTGGACCTTTGAAAAATTTTTTTTTTGGAAAATCGCTGATTTTTTACCAAAAACCAAGTTAAAAAATAAGGAAGATCTTCACCGATTGGCTTTATCCTAGTTCATACGAGAGCTATACACTCTCAGAGAAACGTTGCAAAATTTGGAACCGATTGGATTATTAGTTTTTGAGTTATCGTGCCCGCCATTCGCAAAAAAATGTTTAGAGAAAAACGCGGGTAAGTAAACTAACTTTCGATTAATGGACTTTTTGTATTGAAAAGACTAAAAGTCGAAGTCGACTTTTGATCTATGAGAAAATCGTAAAGTCGACTTTTCAAGATCGATTTTCGATTTTATTCATAAATAATTGATTTATTATCACAAAGCCAAAATTGTCAATAATTAAAGATTCCAGAATTCACAGAATTAGTCGGTAAAAGTCGAAATCGATTTTGAATAGGTTTGACCATGGCACAATAAATAGGTAGTCCATTTAGCGCAGCTGATGTCTCGATTAACTGTCAAAGTGGATAATTTATACTTGTATTCGATGTGCAATGTTGCTAACCATGTTAAATATTATGTGGAAAAAGTTGACAGATATTCGAGACAAAAATAAATGTTTTTGTTTTGATACATCACCTTATTATTGCATCATGGGTTTGACAAAGTCGAAAGATCGAAAAGTCGACAAAAATCGAAAAGTCTAAAAATTGAATTTTTAGTCAGAGGCAACAATCAAAAAGTCTAAAAGTCGACTTTTGTGCTCAACTACGATCTTTTGACAAAGTCGAAAGATCGAAAAGACGACAAAAATCGAAAAGTCTAAAAATTAAATTTTTAGTCAGAGGCAACAATTAAAAAGTCTAAAAGTCGACTTTTGTGCTCAACTACGAATCCCTAGCCTGCATATGAAAAAAACATAGTCTGCTTTTCCACAGGCAAATTTTTATTTGGCAAATACTGAGTTTGTAGGCGAGAGGGGTGCGAGAAAGAAAAACAAAAATTTGCCTGTTCAGAATTTGCCGTACACGCAAATTCTGCTTTGCTCTGTTCGTTTAAAACAATTTTGTTGACATTTCCTTTTGAACCTATTCGCTTTACTGACACACAGCCGGCTTTTGTTTACAAACCTATTGCTTTAATTTGTGCAAGTGAAATTTAATTTTTAATTTTTGCAATTTATATAATAAAATATATAAAAAATAGTGTTTGGCGGGTTATTTGGGATACCATTTGTATTTTGTTTTTGTAAAATAGTCAGGCTTAATCCCAGTTTGTTGTTTTTTATAAAAAACAACTATTTATTAGTGGGGAATGTATGGCATTGTCCGCCGAGGGGTAAGGCAGGGAAGACTATAGTTTCGGATCTCGCCACTGATCCTCATCAGTTCCCTTAGTTTTTTGTTGGGATATTCTCCCCAGAAGCTATTAACAGCTTCTTTACAAAAAACCTTTCAAACCCAAATGTCTCTTGTGACAATTCGAAGTTCTTACGTTACCAGCGATACGACCCCAATGAGAAGTTCGTTTCGTTGGCGCCTGACTTCGTGGTCAACAAGGCATTTACAGACAACTACAATACATTTCCCACTGCTACGTGTCTTCACTTTGTGACGAATGCACATAACGTTGTTGTTGGTATTGCTAGTTAAAGCAATAAACCAAACAGTATGACCGTGCCTCGTCTACAACTTCAGTAGTGTTTGGCGGGTTATTTGGGATACCATTTGTATTTTGTTTTTGCAAAATAGTCAGGCTTAATCCCAGTTTGTTGTTTTTTATAAAAAACAACTATTTATTAGTGGGGAATGTATGGCATTGTCCGCCGAGGTGTAAGGCAGGGAAGACTATAGTTTCGGATCTCGCCACTGATCCTCATCAGTTCCCTTAGTTTTTTGTTGGGATATTCTCCCCAGAAGCTATTAACAGCTTCTTTACAAAAAACCTTTCAAACCCAAATGTCTCTTGTGACAATTCGAAGTTCTTACGTTACCAGCGATACGACCCCAATGAGAAGTTCGTTTCGTTGGCGCCTGACTTCGTGGTCAACAAGGCATTTACAGACAACTACAATACATTTCCCACTGCTATGTGTCGTCACTTTGTGACGAATGCACATAACGTTGTTGTTGGTATTGCTAGTTAAAGCAATAAACCAAACAGTATGACCGTGCCTCGTCTACAACTTCAGTAGTGTTTGGCGGGTTATTTGGGATACCATTTGTATTTTGTTTTTGCAAAATAGTCAGGCTTAATCCCAGTTTGTTGTTTTTTTATAAAAAACAACTATTTATTAGTGGGGAATGTATGGCATTGTCCGCCGAGGGGTAAGGCAGGGAAGACTATAGTTTCGGATCTCGCCACTGATCCTCATCAGTTCCCTTAGTTTTTTGTTGGGATATTCTCCCCAGAAGCTATTAACAGCTTCTTTACAAAAAACCTTTCAAACCCAAATGTCTCTTGTGACAATTCGAAGTTCTTACGTTACCAGCGATACGACCCCAATGAGAAGTTCGTTTCGTTGGCGCCTGACTTCGTGGTCAACAAGGCATTTACAGGCATTTACATAGTTGTTTTTTATAAAAAACAACAAACTGGGATTAAGCCTGACTATTTTGCAAAAACAAAATACAAATGGTATCCCAAATAACCCGCCAAACACTACTGAAGTTGTAGACGAGGCACGGTCATACTGTTTGGTTTATTGCTTTAACTAGCAATACCAACAACAACGTTATGTGCATTCGTCACAAAGTGACGACACATAGCAGTGGGAAATGTATTGTAGTTGTCTGTAAATGCCTTGTTGACCACGAAGTCAGGCGCCAACGAAACGAACTTCTCATTGGGGTCGTATCGCTGGTAACGTAAGAACTTCGAATTGTCACAAGAGACATTTGGGTTTGAAAGGTTTTTTGTAAAGAAGCTGTTAATAGCTTCTGGGGAGAATATCCCAACAAAAAACTAAGAGAACTGATGAGGATCAGTGGCGAGATCCGAAACTATAGTCTTCCCTGCCTTACCCCTCGGCGGACAATGCCATACATTCCCCACTAATAAATAGTTGTTTTTTATAAAAAACAACAAACTGGGATTAAGCCTGACTATTTTGCAAAAACAAAATACAAATGGTATCCCAAATAACCCGCCAAACACTACTGAAGTTGTAGACGAGGCACGGTCATACTGTTTGGTTTATTGCTTTAACTAGCAATACCAACAACAACGTTATGTGCATTCGTCACAAAGTGACGACACATAGCAGTGGGAAATGTATTGTAGTTGTCTGTAAATGCCTTGTTGACCACGAAGTCAGGCGCCAACGAAACGAACTTCTCATTGGGGTCGTATCGCTGGTAACGTAAGAACTTCGAATTGTCACAAGAGACATTTGGGTTTGAAAGGTTTTTTGTAAAGAAGCTGTTAATAGCTTCTGGGGAGAATATCCCAACAAAAAACTAAGGGAACTGATGAGGATCAGTGGCGAGATCCGAAACTATAGTCTTCCCTGCCTTACCCCTCGGCAGACAATGCCATACATTCCCCACTAATAAATAGTTGTTTTTTATAAAAAACAACAAACTGGGATTAAGCCTGACTATTTTGCAAAAACAAAATATATAAAAAATAAATAGAATATTAAAAAAAATCTTTAAAATGCAAACACTTTTGACTTTTATTTCCTTTCTTTTGTATTTTGATTCGCAAATTTGGCAAAGAAAAATTTGCTAATGGAAAAGCAAGCAAAAATTTAAAAAGAGAAAACAAAAAATTTTCCAAATAAAAATCTGCCTGTGGAAAAGCAGACATACAGAAATAGAACGGTC